TTGTCCGTCACAAATCCCACTTGACAAGACCCGGTATCGAACCCGGGCCGCCGCGGCGGGAAGCCAGCGACTAACCGCTTGAGCAATGGCGCGGCCTAATATCACCGTTGCTCTTAAAGAAGCAGACTCACATAACTTCTTGAAATTAGTTTAAATTCATTGCTTTGCCAAGACGTTTCCGATATTTTTAATGTCATGCTCAGCGGTACCTACTTAGTAATACAAAAAATATACATAAAAGTTATTTTCCATGGCTGTATGTAATTTTACAAAAAGAAAATTAATTTTAATGATGTTGCTCTTTTGCTTGTAAGGCTGTGTCATGAATAACTTTATATTTTCTCTTAATGCTTATAAAGTTACATACAGTTCCAGAAAATAACCTTAAGCTTTCTTCTCTTGTATTATTAAATATATATCCCTGAAGATGACATCGTAAATATCGAAATATGTATGGGCAATACTGAATTAAACTAATTTCAATATCTTGTATTTTAATTGATTATACTGTGCTAATATACGACGATATGGATTACAAAGGCGGAACAACTCAGCATAAAATCTTGAGTCTTTTAATTTGCGTTTAACGAGGAAAGAGCAAGTTTTCCCCTGACGCCTGAAAGTGTCTGTGTCCTGATTTCTCCTGGGTTACAGGCGTACAAAGGACAAATTCGGATTAAAAGTTTTACATTCACTTGTACTAAATGTTTCATCTAGGATTTCTAAATCGAAAGATAAACTACTGTCCCTAAGAGATTTGCGGTTGGATTCGATTCCTGGCAGAACATTCTCCCCGCATCAGTGCTAAAATAAAGCCTAACGATAGAATAGTTGAATATGGTAATGAATCTTCAAGTTACTAAATGCCAGTAACTTCCTGGACTAGTTGAATAACTCCTGGATTCTGAAGTAGGTCTCAGCTGATTACGGTTGGTCTCAAGACCTGTCCTGAGCCGCAGCCAGGCTCCCATCCAATGGGTGCCGGGCACTGGGGATATTGCAGCGAAATGTGACACTGCCCACTCACTGCCATCTGGTGCTGAGCTATAAAACGCATGGTGGAGAGCTATCGGCTTTTCACTTCAGGGGAAATATTCATTGCGCACTGTAGGACAGTGGATTGAACGAGAGAAGCTCTGCGTAAGACATTGAACATCCCTAAAGAAATGTGACTTCTCGCCAGTGGCTCTGCATGTGCGTATGAAAGCAATAAAAAGGACGAAAAACCTCACGAGGCTTGAGGTTCTGACGGCATTGATGATATGGATTGCTTTCTTCTGGCATGAAGCACTGCCTACCGACGTTTGGAAGGAACGTGCTGCCGCTATCTTAAGGGAAAATAACTTATTCTCTGAAGATTGGCTAACACTCTCCCCCAAATCGTCAGTAAACATCTACCAGACTTCACCTCGTCACTTCCCAGTAGATTGTAATCTTCATTGTACTGTCATGTGTCCGGTGTTCCGTGACAAGAAATTAATGGGTTGTGGATTAGACAGAGCTGTTTATTGGATAACTCGTTTACAGTTGCAACTACAATCGCTCTGAAATAGCGTCTTGCAGACGATGCGACCTGACTAGTCCATCGCCTCTCACGTTTCGTCTTCTGGTTCTTGGCTGAGCTGGCTTCTTCTCTTCTCCCAGCCCTGCTCCCGTCTTCTCTGTTCTCCGCTTTCACTCCCCTGTCTATTCAAAGGACGCATTCAGTTTCATAATGGCTTGTTGTACCTACCAGAGTTCCCAATTCGCGTTTTCTGATGCAGCAGTCTCTAGCATATTGGTTGCAGCGAGAACAGAAGCTGTTGGTAACCGTTACCTAGGAAACTGCTACGCGAAGCTCCTCTCAGCAGGTGGAGGATCTGGCTTTCAGGGGTCACGTCACATTATGTGAAGATTGGTTGCGTGCGTGTATACACATATGGTTGCATATTTATATGTATGTGTATATGTACGTATTTATGTAAATATTATGAAGTGGATACCCATTGCTAGGAAACAGCTTGGTAAACACCTTCCCGCTTAAGCGCGTGGAAACAATAACGGATATTAAGTGCATGGCAACGTACTTATGAACAATATGTGTCCCACGGGACTGGAACCCGAGAATGATTGCCATGGCGAGGGCCAGCAACAATTCTAAACAACAGACTTGTCCTCTCGTCAGAGAGAGTGCCCCACATCAATAAACCCACAAAAGTCTCTCAGTAATAAAAATCAGATCGTAAGCCGAAGATGGGTGCTTTATTCCAAGAGAGACTGGTCGAGTGACCGTCGGTCGTAACATAAGACTCAGACCCAGACTCGGGATCAGATCAGAAAAGAGAATCAACGTCAAGAGAATGAGAATACAAAGGAGTACAGCGGAGTACAGCGGAGTATACAGCAATAATCGAGAGTAGGACAGATCGAGAGTAGGAGAAAGTAGGAGAGTCGAGTCTCGGAATTGAAAACCACAGTAAGGACAAGGAAAACATTAGACTGTGTCAAGAAGAGTTCACGCATGATTTGAAGTTACAGTTAGGCTGTATTAAAAGCTGTTGCCAGGAAACGGATAGTAAAAACCTTGTAGAGGAATAGACATTTTTTTATACCTGTAACAAAGCAACAATTAGTTAAAGGATATATAGAAGACTTTATTTTCAAGTGAATAACGGAGGATCCTTCGGTGGAAGGACCCTCATCCTGCCATAGGCGGGCTCAATAGCCCAATGTCACCATAATAGCTTATAGAATATTATAATTATGATTGTTATTTAAGTAACAATAAAAAAATTGTGTGCCATAGTTACAGTAATTTTTAATGAAATACATTTCTTTGTAGTTACGACTTTTTATTGTTCAATAAATCTATTTACCAATCCAAACCCAGTCTACAGACACTAGCACATGTGTCAATGCTTCACTTCTCTCCACCCAAGTGCCGAAGTAAATGGTGAACCCCAATCTAAGGAACGCAAATGTGATATTGTGCCTCAGAAGTGGATATAGATGAATGTGGAGCATTGTCAGAATACTTGTATAAGGGGAAACAGGAATACTCTGGAAGAAACCTGCCCAGGTGTCACTTATCCATGAGACATTTTACATACACGAGTTCAGGCTCAAACTCAGGCCTGCCTATTGAGAATCCAGCATTTGATCATTCTGGATCTATGTACGTAGGTTCGCTTGCCTGTTAGAGTCCAACTTCTTATCCTGGAAACTATAGCCGAGCCACGTTTTAAGATTCGGCCACACAGAGCACTACGCTATGTTCGCTACGTACGCTGTGTACACTCTGCGACGCAGCTAACATAGGGAACATAGCGTATGTAGCGTACGGAAGTCTATGTGGCCAGTCAAATTGGCAATAAATGGAAATATTTTTCTGTTCGTATAGCGAACATAGCGTACGTAGCGCTCTGTGTGGCCGAACTTTTAATGCTCCCTGATCTCAATTGCGTGTGACGTAGCAATCACCCAACTCGGGTCGAAGACTGAACAACTGTCGCAAGGTGCAGATGCAGCGAGTTTCATTGTAGTACTGCAACAGATTGCAAACAGACTACACAAACGGCAGTGCACCTCGCAAACACGTGACCGCTAGCCAATGGTGTTTACAGCAGATAGCGCTGAATTTAGTAATAACCAAGGCCCGGATTCTGATGACATGTCATCTTTTTTTCATTGTACCCTATGCGATGCTCTTAAACATATACATCTCGGATATGAGCTGCTGGTTACAGAAATGTAAATTTTATAGGTATTTTTTTGACATTTTTAGGTTTAAGGTCATTTTTTGGTAAATATTTTAAAGGGTATTTCTTGTCATTTTGGCCATTTTAGGGAATTTTTCTTCATATGTTTTCCGAAATGTGAATAACATGCAAGCGAAGTGTTCTTTCTTTTCTCCTTTAGGTCATTTTTCTGGATTTTTCGGTCATCTTTTTAATATTTTCAGGTCATCAAAATCCGGGTCCTGCATATTCCATTTTTCTGGATTTTTCGGTGATTGTATAGGTCATTTTATTAAATATTTTCAGGTGGTCAAAATCCGGGCCCTGGTAATGACCAATACTGTTTCGAGGAGACCTGAACTGAGTGATAATAATAGTAATTAAATTCGCTTCGCTTAGTGGGGGGGTGGAGTCCAGCTGGGTCCACTCGGCACGGCGGCCACTGATTGGCCTATTGTAGCCTGCCCCGTGTGATTATGATGATGGAGAATTTGGCAGAATGAAGATTGGCAGGGGAAACCTAAGTACTCGGAGAAAACCCGCCCCAACGCCACTTTCTCCACCACAAATCCCACTTGACCAGACCCAGGATCGAATCCGGGCCGCCGCGGTGGGAAGCCAGCGACTAACCGCTTGAGCTATGGCGCGGGCAATAGTAGGATTCATTAAATCTCTGCCGGACTGTAGCTCTTTTTACCTGTACAAATGTTAGAGAAATAAATGTCATGGTGTACTACGGTAGCTGTAACAGTTTAACTGAGGCAGAATTACAGTTCCCAAGAGACAGGTGATATGTTCCAGAATTAATATCATGGAATTCATTTCCTAACTACACGCCTATATAGAGGAACGGTTACATGATGAAAACTTCCCTTCTGGGCATTTCTTGTGCCAGAACCACCTTTCGTTTCAAGGCAGGATATTGTAGGTAAGAATGTGACAATTTAAAATGTTTGTGTGCAAACGTCAGCTCATAATATGGTCGGTAGTTCAGTGGAGCAGAATTACAATTTAGTACCAATGCATCTGATTCACAATCGAAGGTTTCCTGGTTCGGATTTCAACCGAGAGACAACATGACTAAGATTTCCGCGATTTTTCTCATTCCCTCCAGGGAAATTCCTTGATGGTTCCTTAAATAAAATAATATATGACTCTGCAGTGCATTCCCACTGCGTGAGAAGCTTTCCAAGAACTAAATACTCATTCCAGGAATATAAATTCATAAAGAATATATTTCAGAAATTTATTTACTTCTTGTTATAGCTGTTTGTTTTGTTCCAGTTTAACTTCGTGGGGAAGCTGTTGGGGCCCAAAGGCAACTCCCTAAAGAGACTGCAGGAGGACACAATGACGAAAATGGCGATTCTGGGCAGAGGCTCCATGAGGGACAAGCACAAGGTGAGGTATAGCAATGTTCAACTCTGGTTATCCAATTACTTTCATGAAATTTATCAAGTTTTAAGGAATTATTAGACATAAGATCCGTGTATGGTATATGCATATAAGCTAGATAATGTTTATTTGAAACCTATCTCTATATTTTGTTTATTTACCGAATTATTGCTAACACTACGTTACTAGTAGTTACTATAGGATTCTGACGATGGTGTATAACACACTGATATGTTGGGTTTTGGACTTTATCCATCGTCCTGGTTTTTAAGATAACAAATAAAAACACGACGTTTCGGAAACTGGATCTGTTTCCGTC